TGCAGTAGCATGGCATGTGTGAATCCTATAGTTTAGCCGTGCATAATTGTCCAATAAAAGTGTTTAGATTTGGAAGACAGTATACATAAATCCTGTTTCTTCTGTTAAATGATCCAATAGAATATCATTATTTCAGTAGACAGTTTTCTATCAAAAATAGATTTTTTATTGGAATCTCTGTTTCAAATCAAGTTTAATTTAATGTAACATCCAAAAAAAAAGATGCCATAATTTGATTATTCTCTCTGCAATTAAATAGTTTAAAAGAACCTTACATCTCTATATGGATCATTATAAGTTCAGAAGTTACATGGACAACTCACAGGTAACATAACATATTGCGAACAGAATCTATAAATGCCAAATTCCAGAATTTAATTATTCTGTCACTCAGAATTTCCCATACTATCGCATATGTGTAGAAATCTAATTCCCCAGTGGAAATGGCTAGAAAGCCAAAAGCAAAGAGGGTTCGAACTGAATCCATCAAGGACGGCTGCAAAGCCAAGATTACCAAGAAAACCTTGCATGATGGGAGTGTCCAGGTAGATTACCTATGGCAGCATGCAACCCACCAACCTGAAAAGGTTCAAGAGATGGTGCAGTCAAGACTCCCGTCTGAGGTCAAGCAGTGGATTTTCTCCCATGTAGACAACAACATGGGTTGGAAGGCAATCAAAACTTTGCTTCGAATCAACCCTCAGTGCTTGGATGAGGTAATAAATTTCTTTTCTTTTATCTTAATTACTAACTTGATTGTGTTATAGCTCAAAGCAGGTATTGATATTGTCAGCTTCCCAATATCTCTTCGCATTAACTATCATGATGTTCAAAATGTCATCAATGCACGTCTGAACAACCTTTCAAGACGAAATACCATTGACAAGACAAGCGTTAAGCAATGGATTGAGTTCTTGGAAAAAGAAAAGAACTATCTGGTTTACATTGTCTTCCATGAAGATAATAGGCCATACCTTGTTTCATAGATCTCTCCTTGGAAGAAGAAGGTATATTATTTAATTTAATAATCATTTAAAATATAATATTACTAACTGTTCAACAGATTCTCGAGTCAGCAGATGAGTGGTGCATCGACTCAACTCACAAGACCTGTAAATCTTTGGTAGATTCTAGCAAGCACTCATATCTGTATACAATAGTTGTGAGAAGCAACATTACCAACAAGGGTGTTCCTGTTTGCTTCTTTGTGATAAATGCAGAGTTTATCACAACCTTGTTGCAATGGCTCAATTGGGCTAAATCCAACTGTAGCCTGCATGTCAAGCGCGTGATGATTGACTGCAGCCCAGTTGAGATTGATGCCTTGGAGGAAGTCTTTGGCCAATCTGTCCAGGTCCTTTTGTGCCACTGGCACATCAAGAGAGCATGGAAGATGGACATCAAAAAAAAATGTAAATTATGTTAATATATTTATTCTTAAATATTGCTAATAATTATTTATATTTAACTAATACTGTAGGTAAAAATTACTGGAGCCACCCACGAAAGCAAGCATGAACAGGATGCAGTTCGGGTGGCTCTCAACTTGCTGATGCATGCCAGAAGTAAGGAGGCATTTAACCAGCAATACGAAAAATTTGTTTCCAGATTTGCTGGCCATGTCAAATTTGTGGCATATTTTGCCACACACTGGCATGCTAAGTGTGACCTTTGGTCAATGGCCTGGAGAGCGGTAAAACTACTATAAATATCAATGTATTGTTTATGAACTATTTGTTATTATTATTAGGATGCCAGATTCCACACGAACAATCTGATTGAATCCTACCATCACATCTTGAAAGCTTACTACTTGGGCAGATTAAGAAACTTCCGGGTTGACCAGTTGGTTTACATGCTCTCCCAAGTAGTTGAGCATTACTATAGACAAGAGGGTCTCAAGATCATGTATGGGTTCAAACAGCTTGTTTTGACACACACTGAGAAGGTGAAGAAAAAGAAGGCATATGATATTGCTCCTGAAGATGCTCTAGGCATGATTAAGATCATAGAAGATAATTTGGTAATTAGATATAACTTTTTATATGTTAAATGTAATAATATTAATGTTGGTTTTATTTATTTATTTTAGATCTACAAGTGTTGCTTCTTTACTGACAATTCTGTTTGGTACGAGTTCTTAGTCAAAGAGGAAGTACTCACTGAAGAAATGACCCTGAATACCCTTGTGTGAAGGTTCATGGTTACATGTGGATATTTAGAGCAATTTTTCATCTCAGCATGTTTTTTGGTGTACATGTTCATAAAGTCATGTTGTAATTTTCTATTGACTCAGATATAATAACCATCCAAGTTATTTTATTATTATTATTATTATTATAAAGTTTGAACAAATAAAGTAAATGTAACACTTGTTTCCCTTTTATCTTAACATTTATAACAAAATAAACACCATGTCCTCTACTTCTGAACTTTATAATAAGAAGTGCTATTGCACAAAATGCAGTGATAATTAACAAGACTACAGCTTTGTTTCTACACGAACCCTCCAGCACCACAATAAAAGAGCAAGATATGAAGACATGGAAAGAAGTGAAAGAAGTATGTTTTGTTTTTCATTTTCATTTTCATTTTGGTTATTTTATATAATGTTTTATTTCAATAGATGTATCTGTTCAAAGAAATCTCATGGATATTGCTTTTGAAAGTAAGAAACGTTAATTGTGATAAAAAGAGAAGTAAACTAAAAATTGAATTCTATATGTAGCTACATCAAACCAACAAACCGGACCCATGGAAGCAATGGGTGGTCAGACCAACTCGCCTGTTTGGGAAGGAGCCCCAATTTCTGACGATGAGGTTGCTTTTAGCAATGAGTCGAATGGCAAAAGCAGTGATGGTGATGAAAATGATAATGACGAAGAAAGCAATGGCGGTAAAGAAAGTGAAGACAATGAAGAGAATATTGTTGAGATTGAAGTCGAAGAATTCGATACTGAAGGTCAGTCCATGTTAATTAACTAATAAAAAAAGACCCAAAAAAATTCAAGGAAAAGAACCAAAAAAGAAAAATCTGAAAAAAGGGGGGGTGTTAATTTTTTTTGTTTTTTTTTACAATAGATCCTTTTGCCACCCCAAATATGCCTGAAAATCCGGTACACAGGTTCATTGCTACTTTTGTAGTAATGTTTGCTTCCTGCTATGTGGTTAATAAGGGCGCTGTTGTCTTGATCGAGTTCATCAACAAGCTCTTGTCGATTTACAAGCAGGATTTCCAATTGCCTGTGAGTCTTTCTGGTCTCCAAAGCATGACAGGATTCTCGGCCATGACAAAAGGGATTAAGAGATTTGTCGTTTGTCAGGATTGCCACAAGGTGTATGAGGAAAGTGTACCTGCTCCTTTGAATTGTGATTTCGTAAAGCTTGGTGCACATACCGCCTGTAATTGCAAATTAATGATCCAATCATTATCTGGTGGTTTGGTCGCAAAGAAGTCTTATGTATATCAGTCTCTCACACGTGCTCTTAAAATTCTTTTCCTCCGTCCCAATTTCGAGCAAAAGATCATGCACTGGAACCAAGAATTCAAGATCACTGATATATTGTGTAATGTTAATGATGGTGAAGCCTGGACTGATTTGAAGGACAATGACGATGAAATTTTTGTTGAGCATCCTCGTTCATTGATGCTGACATTAAACATCGACTGGTTCCAGCCTTTTGATGGTACTAGCTATTCCTGCGGTGCTATCTACCTGGTGATTAACAACCTGCCTAGAAGTGAGCGGTTTAAAGCAGAAAATACAATCCTTGTTGGCCTCATGCCTGGACCAAAAGAGCCAAAATCAGAAGAGATCAATCATTATCTCAAGTCATTAGTCGACGAAATGATACAGCTCTATCTTGGAATACAGATACCCACCTACCAGCAAACAGACAGTGCAACAGTTCATGCAGCCTTATTGATGGTTGCATGCGATATACCTGCTGCCAGAAAGACTAGTGGGTTCACCGTGCACAACAGCACATGCGCCTGTTACAAATGCGACAATCAATTTTCTCGTCTACCAGGCACTTCTTCTGTCAATTTCTGTGGATTTGATTGTGACCAGTGGCGCCATCGAAGTGATAGAGCAAACCATGTGCATGCTGAGAAGTGGAATAGTGCGAGTACACCCTCAGAAAGGCAGCAGCTGGAGGTCAAATATGGTGTTCAATAGTTGCAGTTGTATCGCCTTGGATACTTTGATCTAGTACGTGGAACGATCATTGATCCCATGCATAATCTTTTTCTGAGAACACTAAAGAGAATGATTGAAACATGGACAAAAATGAAAAAAATGAAAAACAATGATCTGCTTGCAATGCAGACAGTTGCAGCAACGATGATATTGCCCAGCAACTATACCAAGCTGAAAACGAAGATAGAAAAGGGCTTTTCCCACATGAAAGCAGATGAGTGGAAGTCTTGGGTATTGGTGTACTCTCCCGTGCTTCTAAAACCAGTTCTTCTGTCCAATATGTTCAATGGCTGGATGCACTATGTAAAAGCATGCCGTATACTTGTAAAGCCGTCAATCAGTTTCATCGAAATAGACCAAGCACACAGATATCTACAAGAATTCTGTCAATCTTGTGAAGATACATATAAACCAAAAGTCCTCACCTGCAACATGCACCTGCACCTCCATCTTCATGACACAATTCGTGATTTTGGACCCGTGTATGGCTATTGGCTCTTTGGTTTTGAGAGATACAATGGTTTGTTAAAGAATAACAAGACAAACAGAAAAAACGGGTTTGAAACAACCTATATGACAAAATTCACTGCAGATACATACAAAGCTGATTACGTACGAAATACGTTATCATGTTCAAGCCTCATTCCATTCCTTCCTCTTTTCAAAAAACTTACCTCTACGACCGCACCTAGAACGACCTATGCCACTTATGCTCCAACCAACCAACAACCTTTCTGACTGCAACAATTTGTAGACTCATCCTTAAGTCGAGCAGCACCTATCAAAGGCAATGAACCACTCCCCCCATCCACCTTTCCTTTACAGTCCTTAAAAGAATCAACAATGAGTGATATTGATTATTCTCAATTATTAGATTATTATAAAATCGCCTATGTTATGCCCAATCTCATTTCTTACCACGATGCCAGATTGTCACAATATTTTGTAAATAACCGAATCACAAAATTGAAATCAATTGATCTCCTTGGCCAAACATATATTGGGAACAACAGTTCTGGTAAGTGCGGGTCACTTGTTCAAGCTTTCTTCCGTACCAGCAATGGCCGAACTTCAAGCCTATATACTGGACAAATTCAGTATCTTTTTATACATTCATTTACTCTGCCTCTTCATCCAAACCACCGAGCATCAACATTACATCAAGACCAGCATGTTTTTGCATACATCCGATGGTATAATTTGACAAATGACAATGAACACAGAGATGAAGGTATTGCAATCTGCTTGCCAGAATTCTCTGCTGATAATTATCACAGCATCTTGCCTGTACAGCGCATACACTTAGAGGTCGCAACTGCTGTAGATGGAACTGATATGAACAAAGAAAGAATGCTGGTCATCCCTATGCCAAAAAAATACTATGCCTGAAGCCTTTATGAATAATTATGCACTATGATTTTTTATGAGAATAATTAAATAAAAAACAAAGAACAAGTAATGCCTCTTTATGCATTTTTTTGGTTATTTAAAGTATAAGACGTTATGAATGAAGAAAAAAAGAACAAAAAATATAAACTTTATTTAGGGCCTGTTTCTAAGAGCCCACTGAGGAAACTGTGACGCAATTGCATCAGGGACTGGTCCTTCAACGGTTTCGCCAAAAGCACGTGACAGCAATTGATGGCTATTTAAGCCTAAATCAGCTACCACTTTGTTGTCAACAAGTGTGATGAAGTGGTTGTACTATATTAAAGACATTAATATTTTATTCAGTATAATACAATATAATATATTAACTAAATTAAATATTTCAACTTTCAAAAAACTAAGTACCTCATCACTTCTCCAACCTGGATGACGAAGACGAAGCCCACTATAAGAAACATGAGGCGAAGTGCCATCGTCTGACTCACCAACAGACATAGCCTCTTCTATAATGAGATCAGAGCAATCTCTTTTCATCTCGTCATCAATAGCAGTCTTGTTAGACTGGTACGCTGTTTTGCGACGTTTCAAGTGCTGTTGAAAATATTAAATTAGTTTTCTTTTTTTGCTTTAAATTAATGACCTAGATAAGAATTATTCAAATAATAAATAAATAAAGTATAACTTACCTCCTTTTTGCGGCTACTCCTTCTGTTACGAGCATTGTCTGACTTCTTTTTAGCCTGAGACTTATTAGCTGCACGCTTTCTGCTAGTGAAGTTCGTGTAGACAAAGTCATGAACATCACTTTTTCTCAGTCCTGCTCCTACGAAATTTCTTTCCAAGTAGGCAACGAGGTTTTCTGTCAACTCAGTGTTTGGCGACTGGTTGAAGTTGACAGCCGTGTTCCACCTTGGCTTGCCATTGTTGGCTTGAATTTCAGCCAAATGTTTTGACTTGAACTTAGGGTCCCACAAATGCTCCCAAAGAAGTCTCTATTGAATCTTGGTAAGTTATTAAAGATATAATTTACTATATGTATGATACATACATAGGCTTTTGTTTTGTTGACTGATTTTGCATCAGAAGCCATGGTGGGAGAACCAGCTACATTCATTTCCATGCTCACAGGAGCAACAGCATGCACTAAAGCCATCGGCTGACTCTGCAAAACAGCAGACACAGGAGTGTTCGAAGTTTTTGCTTTGATATCAGCAACGTCTTTCATGATAGTGGTCATGTCACGATGCAAGATGGCAAGAGAGTTTGTCATCTCTCTCTCAGCAGGAGTGCGTCAAGTGGGATAGCTTTCATTTTGGTTAGACATATTCTATTAATTTAAAAATATAAGTTCAAATATGTATTAACTGTTAATGCTTTTATATTCTTTGAATAAATTTTTATTATACACTACAATTATATTTATTATCAAACATACCAAAATAAAAGACAGAAAAAGATGGGGAGATAGAGAGAGAAAGTGTGAGTATAAGTAAGAATAATTGTAAGAGTGCGTGAGCAAGGGTGAGTAAGATTGTAGCAAAAACGTATATTTATATTTCCAAAAAAAAGGATGTCTAGTCTTGATTGATCTTGGTTAAAAGAATATATCTAAAGTAACTTCTTGTACACACACTGTGTAAATTGATACAAAGATTGCTTTTAGATACTGCACCATTATATCTATTATGCTTTTTGGATTTTTTTTTTGTATTTTATTTACTTATTTTTTTTATTTTTCTATATTTTTCCATATTTTTCCTTATCGACCATTTTCTTTTCTTTTCTTTCTCTTTCTGATTTTTGATATAACTGTGAATTTTACTGGTAAGATACATTCTTCTTAAAAATACTTCTGTACAGACAACAACAAGATTAACACATTCTGTTGTCATAGATACATATATACTCTCTTAGTGTTTTACTATATTCGCAAACTTTTTTGGTAACATATCTTCTTTTTTTTTAAAGCAATTCTTTTCTTCAAATGTAACTAAATAATAATTATTATTTCAGTTGTCATAGATACTAGCGTGTTTTTTCCTTCTGATGTATTCTCTTTGCAATGGCCATCCAGATTATTCCAGGTTAGTAACTATACTTTATGTCATCATCCTATAAAATTATTCTGACTTTTCTCCTTCTTTTTTATAGACAATATCGCCAAAAATATTCCCTACAATTAAACAAGACCATCAACATGGTAATATTTTATTTTTTATTTACTTTTAATATTTATCTGACAGAATATAATTTTTATTACAGATGAATGTTCATCTGCCAAACACGCAATGAATCAAGAACCTCTATCTCTTGGCGTCGTCATTGACATGGTAAGACTTCTTCTTTTATTCTCTTAATATGTATGATAGTATTATTTATACTGTATATTAATATATGTTTTTTACTAAAGGTTATATCAACTCTTCACAAGTACTATCTAGGTCTACAAATAAATTGACTTTCTTCAGGTACGTTCATTACATATTCTGTCACCCAATTCACTCAAACTAACTTCTCTATATTATTTTCATTGTTAAAGAAATTATACTTGACGCCATGCCTCGAACTCTCAAAGTTTTATTTTTATCTTCTTCAGTCATTATATTGTATGTATCCTCAAATTAATATATCACTCACAACATGTAAATATTTAAATACACATCTAACTTCTCTTCTATTATGTTAAATAGTATCTGTGCCAAAGATAACTACTGAATATGCGGGTTTACAAACATTATATATAAAGCACTGCTTGATTTGAGTCATATGAAGGATACCGGTGAAGACGGCCCGAGGCATATAATATTATTCCAATACTATCAACCTAGAATCATTCTATTTTTTCTAATAAATACAAAAATAAACTATAATTCAAACCAATAATAATTGAATATCAAGTAATTGGGGGAGCAGATAATCTATGACCTCATAATAAAGAGTGTTAATGATTGGCTTATAAGCAATAAAATGTCCATGGTTCTAACTATTCACCCAGGGATAGTTCAACAATACACATGCAACGTAGTCCCTGATTATTAACCTTTAACATGGAAACAGATTGTATTACAGCAAAAAAACAAAGTTTGAAATAAAGTTTTCTTGGTACTCTATTATATACAAAGATATAAAATTACTATTGACCCCAACTTCACTAGTGCTATCGAACTTTACACTTGTAGATAGCAGGTCTGTGCACATGTAACCAGATCAGCTTTGGTACCAGTGGAAATAGGCAAAACCCCACTATAAAATGCGGAATATTCACAATAGTATGCCTGAATTTCCCGGTGTGTATTTATTGTTATTTTTCCAGTAACTGTCAGTCTGCTCTTGTCCAGACCCTAATCATTTGTGTAAGCATATGTTTTTGGTCTGTAGAATGATGGGACTCCAATATTCTTTCAACAAAGAGCTTCCTATTGCTCAGAATCGAGAAGTTCAGGTAGTTGACCAAAGTGAGGAGAGTGCTTTGGCACAGAATAGACTGCGTGCTCTGGAGTTTGTTCAGAGACATAACAGCTTGATCAATAAGATTGCTCAAGCTGTTGGTGAAAGAAATGCCATGGCAAGAGATACTGCCTCTGGAATGAACATCACCAGCCAGATTTTGGAAGATTGTTTGTCTTCTTTGAAAGAATCTGGTGTTGCTCCCCAGCAGAAGTATAGAAAACAATAAATATATATATAGAAATAACAGTAAAACTATTCAAAACATATTGGATCAATTATTTTTTATATCTTTTGACAAAAACATGGTATTAAATATAAAATAATTGTTTTTTTTAATAATCTTGAAAAAAATACAAAGTGCTTTTTAATACTGCTTTTTTTTTGTTCGACCCGGATCTAATAAAGTTTGACTCTCTAGGTGACTGCTCTCAGTTTTGAGATTTTAAAAATTTTCTCCATTAAGCTAGTGGGACTTTTAAATCATTGGGAATATCTGCGTCACACGTAACTTTGGTATGAGGGATAAGTTTCAGTGATCTTTGCTGTCCTTTTGCTACAGCATAATTGTCAAGACTTTCCAAGAGCATTTGAAGCAATTTTTTTCACATTAATTATTTTTCATATATGAATTAATCTCTAACTATATTATCTCATCACTTCTTCAGCTAGGATAATGAGCCTTCAGGCATTTACTGCCTGCCAATCTAGTTGTCTCATCATCTGTCTCATCATCAGATATTGCTGCCTTTTGAAGGACATGAGCACAATCATCTCTTTTTGTTACCGTATCAATGGCTTCTTTGTTTTCAAGGTAAGCCACGGAACGTTGGCAAAGAAGCTGTACATACATTTAAAAAATAACAGTGAGTATCAAATAATATATATACGTATCTAATTAGAAACTTACTAACAAACTATGCTGATGTCTTCTTGATGCGATTCTTTTTCTGTTTGCAGATGAAGGCGTTCTGCAGGACTCACGGACCTGGTTGCAAAAATAGTTTTTTACCATACATACAAGGTCACTTGTAAGTATGCCAGCAGATTGGGGTTTGCTCCACAAATACACAGTTAGAGTCTGTGCAAGACCATAGTTATAGCTACCTGTAAAGTAGCTTGTAAGGACCCATCCTGGCTTTGCAGTATTTGTGGCTACTTTTCTTTGGTCACTACTGCTGAAGTTCTGCTTTTTCAGATACCCATTGATTAATTTCTATGAGAAAAGTGTTTGATGTCTTGGCCATCATTCTCAAATCAAATCTTATCGAGATTGCTGGATGTCTCTTTCCAGGCACATAATCATCTTCTATCAATGATGAAAGACCAGTGACTGCTTCAACGCCTGATGTAACATTGTATCTGGAAGTAGTATTCTGGACAACAGTTTGACCAGAAACAATATTTGCTACTGTCTCCTGAAGACGAGTTGTGGTATCATTGGACTTGGTGATACCGGTGGCCATGTTTGCAATTTGGTTGGTAAAACTCTTCATCTGAGCATTAAGACTGGCCAGCATTGCCAGAACTGGATCGGCCACATTACCATCAACATGACTAACTGCTGGTCTTGTGGTAGGTATATACATAACCAATTCCAGACCAGTGTTATTGTTGGGCATGATGTTACATGCAATAGCTGCATGCACAAAGTTATTTTCAGAGAGACTGTTAGCGGTGAGGTTGTTCATTTTCTATATAGACTCAAATATTAATATATGTTAGCTAATGAAATAAGCTTGACACAGTTTCTGTTGAATTTATACATACAAATAAAGAAGGTAATGGAGAGAGGTTAATTAAGTAAAGTCGAAGCCCTATTTATTATAAATTTTCAACTATAGTAATTATTCAAGCTACATATGTTTCAATTTGGAGAAGTATATATCTTTGGGTAAATGAACTGCCTTTTTTTGAAACATTATTTATCTACTGCTTTTATTTGGAATCTATATATTTGATGTCAAGCTTTTTTTCTTTCTTTCTTTTTTTCTTTTGCACTTTTTGACACAAATTTATGGTAAAATATTTTCTTTTTTTTTGCTTCTTTGTTTTACTTCTTTGTTTTACTTCGATGTTTTACTTCGATATTTTACTTCGATGTTTTACTTTGATGTTTTACTTCTTTACTCATTGCTTTTTGTCTTCCGACAGTTTGACAAGTTATATATTTCTTTTTTTTTAGTAAAGTATCTAATTAGAGACATGCCAATAAATATATGTTTACTTAAGTATTTATTATTTACTAATAATGCTAACAATATAGATACTATTATATCTTTTTGATGTCATCCACAATAATATTCATATCTCATATTGTGGTATATCTTTACGAAATACATGTATTCTAACTTTGCTTTTATATTCATCTTTTCTTTGTGAACATTATTCAATTAGGTCTGAGTATTATTTTCTTAGAACAATAACATCTGGTAAGTTTTTTTAACAAGCAAATCAGCTATACACTCATTATAAACAATACTAAATGTGATATATTTTGGTAGCAATTAGCATACCAAGAGCTTTAATCTCGTAGTGTTTACTAGCTGTCAATTATTAGTTTATGACAATTGTATCAAGCTTGTAAGTATCAATTTTCTTATATTTTATTTTCAATGATATCATCTAATATATATATCTTTCTTTTCTTGTGTTACATAGTTAACTATCTCTTCAAGTAGATATTAGCATAAGTGCTTTAAACAATAACAGTTCAACAGTACATAGTAGGAAGTATTGTTATAATCAATAGTTTTTACGAAATAAATGTACCAAAAAAACTAGAATGCTCATCAAGAAAATATTCTTTTTCAAATATCAAAATAAACAAAAAATAAAAAAAATTTTCACTCAAAATAATACAAAACCGCTTCTTTAAAATGTATAGTTTCCCAAATATGAAATGTTAAGAAATATACTTTCCAACAAATTTGTGCTATAAAACCATAAATTAATATACAATAAAAAAAGGGGAAAAGTGTTTCTGCTAAAGAAGTATTTATGTTCGATTCAAAAATGAATGATTTCCTACAAATTTTATATAATAAAAATATAATTGTCCACAAATTTGTGTTATAAAACAAAAAATAAATATACAATGAAATAAGAAGAAAGTGTACCTACTAAAGAAGTATTTTTATTGGCTTAAAATGAATGCTTTCCTATAGATTTTATATGATAAAATACACTTTCCCACAAATTCGTATTATATAACTAGAGAAAAAATATATAGAAAAATATAGGGAAAGTATAGATGCAAAAGCAGTATCTATATCCGGTTTTTTTTTAGACTAAATGATGACCTAAAATGGAATATAATAACTATATGTATCAAGAGCATGGAGTATATACTCATTATTTCTATTCAAATACAATTGATGGACTAAGAAGAGTTATTGTTACTCAGTGAAACAAAACTTACTTCATGATCTTAAACTTCTATCTACCTGGAATAAGTATACTAGAGATCTCACAGGTAAAATTTCTAAAACCACACAGAAATTGTGGCTTTAAACTCAATATTTGCATACTTTCTACTCGATGAAATCATATAATTTTTGTAGTGGATATTACTGGATAACCACTATCTAAAACATATTATTGTAGCTATTCTTTTAGCCAGAAAAAAAAACTGTTTTATATAAATAGTCAAGAATTACATTTAATAAAAATCATCTTTATTCTTATCTAAAAACTATTCTTAAAAACTTAATGATTCCCAGTGGTATTGATTCTGCAACTTAGTTACAAGTGCCAGAAAAGAAATATCAGATCGAGAGTTGACAACTTTGTCGTTCCCAATCTGGGTTGGTCTTCCTTTTACTATAGCAAAGTCAAAAGGTCAAACCCACTGGGGATCGGAGAGTATATGTAAAATCGAAGAGAGGATAAAAGGTGCTTTTTATTGATAGGAATTGAATTGTCTTATATAGTTTTCTAAACTAATACTGCGCATTATCCGCAGTAAACTATTATACTCTATTTAATTACAAGAGAAGTCCTTTTACTACGGTTGATGCTCAGAAGATGTTACTGTGGTTAATCTTTACAAGACATTACTGCGGTTCGTTATCTATGAGGTATCTTTGACATACAGAACTGCTGCGGTCAATTATCCCGATTTCTCGGATTCATCAAAATAATGTCCGACATTTTGAAGACATATCAAAATAATGTCTTACACATTCAACTCTGATATGATAAAAAAGAAATCATTACTCTCCGACCGGGAATTGAACCCGGGTCTCCCGCGTGACAGGCGGGGATACTCACCACTATACTATCGAAGAATTAATAATATGATATAAACTGTTTTAAAAATAATCAGCAATCAACAATTTTGGTTGTCTGGCGGTGCAGTAATGTTGCAGAATTCTTTGTAATTCTAGAAAATTATATTCTATTATTATTTTTTTGATTTTCCGATAGCAGCCAAGGCTGAATAGAAAGCAATTTTTCTATTAGTAGAGCAAAACACCAATAATTACAACAAAAAGACATCATCCTGTCAATAATAACTTCAGGCAACTACACATCATATTATATTTTCTCACTATATTTAACTGAATGAATCAACTTGGAATTAATATTATTTTTATTATATATTTCTACAAGCATAATTACCTTCATGATTATGACTTGATAATTATTTTATTTTATTTGTACTTAATCACTATGAGAAAAAACTTGGGATTTTCGAATTTGTGACTTTCTTTTCGGTCTTTAATAATTAAAAAATCATTAAAAATTTAAAATGAAACAAGAAAGTCTCTGTTTTTGAAAAGGTTAACAAAAAACAAATTAAACACCGAAAATTAAATCTTCTGATAGACAAAAGTATATTTTAACTACAGATTTTACATTTTTAGTAGATGTAGATTGTAACTGATGACTATTAAAAGTCAGAGGTAAAAGAGAGAAAAATATCTAAACATATTTTATTCTCCCAGCAAAAAGTTAAGACAATTCAAAAAAAAATGTATTACATAAAAAAAAACAAATTATATGTCTACATGACAACCAAGCAACAATTTTGGCTCATGGTTCAGTTTTGGCCAGACAATATACCATTCATTAGTGGCTGTAGACACCACCAAGCCAAACAGCTCTTTTATATCAGCTAGATGAACAACCTTTGACTTTGCAGGTACATTTGTCACGACAGAAATTCCATTTGTTTCATGGATGGCATATACCTGGACAAGAGCAAGCAGCCATCTCTTGTTGTCGAGCTTGTGCTCAAAGAAAACAATAACCTTCCCAAATAAATCCTTATAGATTGGAGAGTAGCTCTGCCCAATGTTGTGGTTCTCATCAACCTGAATCTGTAATCTGATGTTATGTGCCTCCTTTACACAATTTTGGTTGAGCGCAGAGTCAATCACACCACTATTGACAAATGTCTTGCGGCTAGTTTGTATAGCTGCTTCAATTATGCTACATTCTTCTCCCTTTGATTCATAAAAGTCTTCAAGAAGTTTTGAAAGACATGAAATGCCTTCAAAACTATCTCGAATTGTTCTATTTCTCAAAGGCCCCCAGAACTCAATATCAGACCCAGCACCAACATATTCACCTTTACCCGTCATCGGTCAATCAGCAGAGGAATCTTTGTATGCAAGAAGTCTTGCTGCTATATATGCCTTTGTGCACTCTACCTGTCTGGTCTGTGCCAAGCCAAACATGATACTGCCAGCGTTGGTTTCGATGACAGAGTTACTCTTAATAGCATTAGAGTACTTGCTGATTGCTTTTTCTACCGATCTAGCACTATATGATCTCGGCAGGCCAAATGCTTCAATCATATCTGGGTAGTGTTGTAAGAGGTGCTGGTCAATGGTGAAAACCTTAAGATCAATCTTGTTCTCGGCAAGCAGAGTCTTAAGATACACGTTCTATTCAACAAGTTCTCTAAGATAGAAGTTAGTATATATTTTTAAAAAAGAATAACAAATAATGATATTTAATATACCTTTTTATTGAAGCTTGTTCCTCTGCTGATAACTCCCAGCTCATGAGTAAATTGCACACTTGTACAAGGCCAGCAATGCCTTTCATGCAGGTATATTTCTTGTCCGCTCTGCTACTAGAGTCAGAACAACAAACAGAAGGAAGTCTGCCTAGTCTACTGCCTTAAAGTATTCTGCATTCTTTGATACGTCTCTCCAAGCACCATGAAACAATGTAGGGATCGTTTTTCTTGTCAATATCATTGCTGCACCTATCTCTTTCTGGACTCCAACAGAGAGAACAAGCAGATGTTTTTTTTTGTACTTGCCAGTGATGAGCCCCCAGACCTGTTTTGCTACACCATAGCAGATACTATGCATTTCATCCAAGGCAAAGAAATATGGCCTGGAGAATGCATCTAATGTTGTCAGTAGTAATTGCCCTGTAAGTCCTCTTCGGCTGGACTCGTCTGCCTCACGGAAATCACGGAAGCTCCCCAGTGTACATAGGGCAGTGGCTGGTGACATACGGAAATACTGACTGCGGCCAGGAGATTGACCAACAGCATGACAGATTCTACAGCCATCTTTGCTCATGTGGCCAACATGACATGCTAGCTTTGCCAGAGCTGGGATATCACCTGTTGCCATTAACACATGGACCTTGGCCTTGATAGTTTCCATGGCTGTTTTGACAATCATTCCTTCAGACTGCAACACACGGAGATCTCTGACAATTGGTCTCATAAATGACCAGAAGTCAGTGGGTGCCTTAGGCCCAGGAATCATGGCAAGCTGGACCATTATTTTTCTTTCATACCGGATCATTGGATTCAAGTTCAAGATGGTGACATGGACAATTGTTACTGATCCGGGAACATTGTGAGGAGCAAACCCATCCACAGACAGTAAAATTGCAATATCATCACTTTCTGAGAAGAGATGCTTCTTAGACTGGTAGGCCTGACTATTGAATACATCAGTTTTTGTGCCATCTTGACTTGGCTCGTGGTGGTAACAGTAGCGCATCTCTGTTCTGGTGCTATCATTGGCCAAACAGAGAGCAAGTTGTCTGCCCAGAGGAAGTTGAACCATGGTTCTTGCAGGAACCAACATACCATTATCTTGGGCACTCTTGTAGTGATCTTCACCGCAATGCAAGCACTTGGTTTCATTTGCATCAAACAACATACAGCCATTGCAGCAAATGTCATATTTCTTCTCCTCTATTCTGGAGAAACACTTCAGAAGCTCTTTACTGAGGTAAGGTGTGCATGCTCTATATGTGCTTGTAGAGTTAGCAAGAATCTCGTTGAAGTAGCTGGCAATCTTTTCATGGGCATTACAAGAAATGCCAAACTCCTTGACGATTGGGATAAATTCCAGGTTCTTTGCATTGTTGATACTGGAAGTGGGAAGAGGTTGGCTGAAGTCAAACACCAATGGTGCGGTTGCATCTTCAATTTCTTCCATGGCAGTTGATTCCTCCATGGTATTATCACATTTCATATTGGCATCATACTTAAATAAGGTAAATAGTAATCAGTATAATGACTTTATACTATATATATCTATAACTTACCATGGGCTTATCATTTTCAGTTCTGTCAACAATATCCATATTTTTATTACTGATCATATTAATGTCTCCACTGTTTGTTTACCAAAGTATCCAGATAATTAATATATTATCTATCTTTCTGTATTTTAGTTTTTAATAAGCTTACTCAACGATCAAGCTTGGGGCTAGTGCTGGCATAGACTGGATTACAACAGGGAGAGAAACGTCTTGGATGAAAGATCCATTGATAGCTGCATCTACCAGCTTTTAAGACATCTATTTCGACATTTGATAGCATTTGAAGAGCTATTGTAAGGCAAATGACAGGAACTGCATTCGCGAGGGAAGATCTTTGTGATTCGAACCATATTTTGGAATAAGTAAAAAAAATAAAAAGAACTTTTGTTATATAAGTGATTGTAAAAGCAATTGCTTTCTGAATGAATATGTTTATACTTAATTATATCAATGTAATGATGGCATGGATAATTCAAATGTATGCTCATAATCTTAAAGGAGTAACTCTATGCCATCATTCTAAAATTACTAGATCAATAATTCTTCAAGAGTAGCCAATAGATTTGGACAAGTAATTTGAAACTAATAATAGTTTTAGGAAATTTTTTTCCTTTTTCTTTCTTTTTCTATAACAAACTCATTACTTTTTTTTACTATTATAAATAATATAGATAATTCAGTGATTTAGTTGCTTCAAGGCGTTCAAGACGCACTTATTTCTCTAAAGAATAGTCAAGAAGCATTGGAGAAAAAATAAGATGCAATGCAACTCAAAATAATAAGTCTTCACAATGAATTGAAAGATTGAGAACTCCCGGATAATACTATTGTAGCTTCTGTCAATGTAAGTAAATACTATAATAATTAAAGCCTTGTCAATTAATATCAGCTACAATAGATATCTACTGACTCTATATCAAGACCAGTACCAAACATCTGTAATATAAATTCCAATCATGTATTACAGATGATTGAGCAAGACCTAGGAATAAGTCTAACCGCAGAAGTCAAGGAGGCTATCAACACTTGCATCAAGCATATTTGTGATCAGCTTGCTGCTCTTTCATCTGTTCAGATTCTCGGGCCCAATCCAAGCTGGACATCTATCCCTCAAGAGGACCGGACCAGAATGTGTGTCAGTCATTCACATGCGCTCAAGAATTATGAAATTAATTTCATTAGATGTCATAAAAACTGGACATCAATCACAAAGGTTAGTCAGTTATGGAGAAGTTGTAGAAAGCAACACCTCTCTGATAAGTTCATATCAGGTAGGTATAATAAACTGTATACTAAATATGAAAATATGAAATTATTCAAATGATATAGCCAATACAATTAATGAATAAAGAATTGTTCTTTTTATAACAACCAATAAAAACATTTTTAAATAAAAATCCTCTATGAAATAAAACTTTTTTGCCCAATTAAAACTGTGAACAAATCTGAATATATATAAATGAGAGCCATTTAAGAGAATGTTTTTGTTGAAATGACCAATACAATTTAAGCATATACTATGATAGAATGTTTTTTATCTAATTAAAATAATTATAAAAACCAAAATAATATTTTATTACCAATTAAAAAACTTTTTTCTTTCATTCATACCAATAGAAACCTTTTTCTATTATTTTACTACCAATTAAAATAAGGGTATAGCAGATGGGTAAATATAGCAGGATATGAATAAAAGCTAACATCAATAAGCTAACGGCAATTAAAATTTATTACTTAAAAAGGAACTAGAGATTCCACTGCGATTCGCGAGAATTGCCAGCTCAATCCCAAGCTAAATCTCCAGCTGAATCCCCACCGGAATCCCCACTTTTTTCCCGTAGTGAATGATAGTAAAGAACAAATCACATTTAATAGATCGTCAATTATACAGCTTTTATTATACATTTTTTTTATAATTTTATTTATTTAATCATTCAACAAGTCAATTGCAAAACTATAAATATTGCAATACTTGCATTTAATAAACATTGATTTTTCTTTGTCTTATTTTCTGACAACAAGTTCTCTTAATATTTAATGCTGTTGATATTTTACTTGTTTGATTATCCAAGTATATTGAGTCAAACACTATGGCGGGATGAATGGCAGTTGGGACAAAAGTAGGCACATAACTGCCATTTTTTTAGTCGAAACCCAATAAAATCTCTGCCATTTGTTGTAAGATGGTAATGTAATTCGTAGCAATTTAAAAAAGTAACATGAAAACACTTTTTTTGCTGCTGTACAATATTTTCAATATTGTAAAAAATGTTTGTAAGTTGTAATGACCACTTTGAGTATTGAAATATATGTTTTATTAAATATCAAAGATGTCAACAATTATTAAGATTAATAATTTTTGCAATGTGTGAACGAAATGATAACATAACTGCCATTTTTCATTTTTAAACTATGTTCTTTTTTTTTAGATATTCTTTTTATCTTGATGAATTAGCAATTTGATTTTATTTAAATCACGTAATAGCGTATAGAGCATATTGGGAATGAAGACAAAAGCATAAGGTGTATAGAGAATAGAGAAAAAACCAGAGTATATAAAGAAAAAAAGAAAGACAGGGCATATAGAGATTAAAAAAAACATAAGAAATAGAGAAAATTAAAAAAGTATAAGATACAAGGACGATATAAAAAATATAAAAGATATAAGAATATAGAGCATATAGAAAAATAAGATAAAAATAAAAAGAATTACAGAATAGAAAGATTGCCTTTAGTAATGCGCATGTTGTTGTTAAAGATATAATAGGCCACGATTACATAAAACTGGTTTCCATTTGGTGGGTATTGGACCAGACCAACTTGATGACAAATGTCATTTACACTTATAACTGCATAAGTTGGTTGCATTTGATGGCCTAGTGTACGGGTGCTTTGTGACCGTTGTTTGACGATAGGTACTAACACTGGAAAAATAGGGTAATTTCATCTATGGCATAGGGTACTATTATTTGTGGAGTGGTAGCTTAAATTTCCATCACTTTTGTCTTTTTTATTTTTGATGGCAATGATAATGCTTGGTCTGTTTTATTGAATAAAAAAACGAGTTTACTTTTTTTTGTAAAAAATGTCTGCGAGATTTCTTTTTGGGACTTGTAGCCATGTCGCAGAGTCAATAGTTGTAGGGAACTTAAACCAAATGATATCTTTTGAGTGAGATAATAAAGCTTTTTATTGTTGTAATATTTATTTATAAATATGATAAGGTTAATGGTCGTGATATTACTACAAATATTTTTGTTGTATATGCCCTACAGCTAATAAAATGTACATGACGACATGTTTTAACAAAAGTGTATATTATTGTATTTTAGAATAAGGCAATCAATTACAGTTTAGAGAACTGCCCATTTTAACAACCAGAATAAACTATGTCATTTTGGAAGCTGGTGTAATTTGGAAAGATATATATTAAATTGTGTTCCTGAACAATTTTCTATTCTTGTCAATTCTAAAGACTTAAAAAATAAAACATACGCACACAATATGTCAAACAACAACAACAATTCAGAATGCAAGTGCTCTAAATGCTCTTCCAATAGCATGGGATTTGTTTTGGTGTCTACCCAAACACTCAGAAGACATGCACAACAGGATATCGTGAGACAATATCAGTCAGGATCTTCTTGTAAGTTCAAATTTAAGAAAATTATTATTGAGACAATTTTAATTAAATATTTATTTTCATATAATATAGCCTCAGTTATAGAAGTAATGTCGAATGACAATGACATGGAGATTGACTTTGAATACAATGTTGATGCCGAAGATCAAGTTGAAGGTATGCATAGTATTTTTATTAAAGTTTTATAATTATTTACAATATCTAATAATTTGATTCTTTTTTACCTAACAAAACAGCTGAAGACTTACCTCTTTTTGGCATTGATTCCTTGTTTGATTCTGAAAGCAAAGATGAGGGTGTCATTGAAGCATCCATTTTAGATATTTCTGACAATGAATCTGATGATGTTAGAGGTTAGTACAAAAAGCACATGTAAATCAATAAAGTCAACAAGTATTGATTTTTTTTTCAAATAGAGCACTTTTCTTCATCCAATATGCCAGTCGATCTTACTCATGCTTTCATTTCTTCTTTTGCTGCCTTCTTCATATCCAAATATGTTGTCAATTCTGGTGGTGCTGTTCTGTTAAAGTTTCTTAACAAAGTATTGGCACACTTTGGACAGTCTTTCCGTTTTCCCCTCAGTATAAACGGTGTCAACTCTATGACTGGTCTCAGCGACATGACTCGAGGTGTCCAGTGGTTTGTTGCATGTGGCGATTGTAACAAAGTATATAAAGAGTCCGATGTTGTTCCAGAGTGCTGTAATTTCGAGAGACTCTCTGGTAGAGAATGTGGAAACGCTCTTTTCTTTGCAACATCAAGAGCCTTGACTATCCCCAAAAAGATCTACATGTATAACTCCATAATCAAAACATTGTCTATCCTTTTTTGCCGCCCTGGATTCGAAGACACCATCAACCATTGGAGAATCAGAGTGCAAGTTCCAGGCATGATGTTTGAGATTTACGACGGTACGAAGTGGAGCAGTCTGAAGGATAGCAATGGTTTACCGTTTGTGAATTATGAGCACTCCATAATGCTTACCATGAACATCGATTGGTTTCAACCTTTCGATGGGGTCACTTACTCCTGTGGTGCGATATACCTTTGCATCAACAACTTGCCAAGATTGGAACGGTACAAGAAGGAGAATGTTGTTCTCGTTGGTCTCATGCCAGGGCCCAAGGAAGCAAAGACAAGTGAGATCAATCACTACCTCCATCCCCTTGTTGCGGAACTCAACCAGTTGTATGGCGGTGTGGTGATGCCTACCATACAGTGCCCATCTGGTGCTCTTGTCCGTGCTGCCCTTCTTCTTGTTGCCTGCGACATTCCTGCTGCCTGTAAGACTTGTGGGTTTACCTCTCATTCAAGCACATGTGCATGCAATAAGTGTAACCGACAGTTCCCTCGCCTTCCAGACTCCAATGCTGTGGACTACTCTGGGTTCGTGTTTTCTGAGTGGGTGTCTTGCACTGATGCCAAAAACCGCCATGATGCTGAGTTGTGGAGAATGGCCAGCAGTGATGCACAGAGAAAGAGATTGGAGAGGGAAAATAGTGTCCGATGGTCAGAATTGCATGACCTGGTTTACTTTAACCTCATGGAGTGCATTGTCATCGATCCAATGCCCAACCTGTACCTTGGAACAGCAAAGAGGATAATGGAGAAATGGAGATCTTCAGGTCTCATCACAGATGCACACTTGGCCGAAATGCAGTTGGATGCTGACAAGCTTGTACTGCCAGAGAACTACACGCCATTAGGGACAAAGATTGGGCGTGGCTTTCCATTCATGAAGGCCAACGAGTGGAAGTCTTGGTGCTTGGTGTACTCTCCTGTTCTCCTGCGTGGTTGTCTACCTGAAGCTTATCTCGGTAACTGGACAACATTTGTCAATGCATGCCAGTACCTCTCAATGCCAAGCATATCCATGGCTCACCTTGATGAAGTCCATCAATCTTTGGAGGCTTTCTGCAGAGAGTGTGAGAAGTTGTATAAAGCCCCATTCCTTTTGCTAAACATGCATCTCCATCTTCATCTGCGAGAGACTGTACTGAACTTTGGCCCGGTTTATGGCTATTGGCTTTTTAGTTTCGAAAGATACAATGATATCTTGAAAAACTATGCAACAAATAGAAAAGACGGGTTTGAGGGAACCTATATGAAGAAGTATCTTGAAGAAGTATATCAGGGAGATCTTATTTGCCAAACTTTGCCAATAATTCAAGCTGAGCATTTGGCAATCATCCTTGAGCTCACTGCATCCACTGCCAATTCCATAGCCACTTCCACTTCCACTGCCACCTCAATCCAATTCGATATCAATGCTTTTCTTGATTCTTCTGAGATCAACTTTGATATCATTAAGAGAAATGAGCCTTTGCTCCCTTCCGCACTTCCTTTAGCTCTAAAGGATGAGATTTCCATGGATGAATCCGAGTATGAGCATTTGTTGGAATACTATTGTGAGACATATGATGATCAAACTCTTGTTCATTATTGTCAGGCTGATCATTCTGATAATTTTGTTAACAATCGGATACAGAAGTTTGAATCAATCAATCTTCTTGGGCAAATCTACAAGAGTAAAATGAAGAATCAGCATGGGTCGTTCATGCAAGCCTTGTTTGAGACAAGTGATAGTAGAAGTACCAAGCCATACGCGGGCCAAATTCAGTACCTCTTTGTCAATACTGCTGTAAACTCGTTTGCTGGTCATGCGAGCCAGCATGTATTTGCATATGTACGATGGTACAAGGAAGTTTTACTTCAGCCCAGAGCAGAAGAAGGAGTTGAGGTGAATGAGGTGGGGTTCAAAGATGACAGCATGAACAGCATTCTCCCAGTGCATAGAATCTGCTATCCAGTCACAGTAGGCGAGCACCTTGGTCTAGAAGGCGAAGTTCAGATGTGTGTAGTTCCTTTGCCACAAAAAATATATATTTAGATTCAAATACAAAAATAAAACACGTATAAAAAAATTAATTAATACAGACTAATATATATAGCTGCACGTTTATTTTTTATTATTTCTATAAATTTTTGTTTGTACTTAGCATGCTATACATGCATTTGTATACATCATGCTAATCTGTAAACATAAAAAAGTAGAAAAAAGACTCTAAAATAGTTGGCAAGAAAAAAATGATTTATTTTGAAAAGCACCAATCTGGTAAAGTGACTGCCAAATTCTTGGGAATGCTCACTTCTTTCTCATAAGGGATACGCTTTTTCAAGCTTTCTGAATTTTTCTTCAAACGGATAACAGTAAGTTCATCAATAGTACTAACAAACGTCTGGAGCTGATTTAAAGAATAAATATTATTAATAAAGTATTATTATTTTCTTTAAAACATGAATAGATGTTTAACATTACCTCATCAGTTCTCCAGCTGGGACGATATGCCCGCACTTTGTTATCTCCATCCGACTCGCCATCAGACATCACGTCAATAGAAAGAATATTTCCGCAATCATATTGATTCATGCCCTCATGAATAGCCTCTGTGTATGTCTGGTACGTGATAATACAACGGTCAAGAAGCTACCAAAGAATATTGTATTAAAACATTAAATCAATAGTAAATTAACTTTATTTTAAAACTTACGGTCTTCTTTCTGTTGCATCTTCTTCCAGCTTTATTTCTAGCTATAATCTTCTCTGCTGAGGTCCGGAAGACTTGCACTTGATTTTGGTAGTGATTCTTTATTATATTCATAATGACACTCTTTGACACATTTGTGCAACATCTTTGAGGTCTCAGGTACTTGAAGAGAGCCAGTGCAAGTGTCTTGTTGTACTTATCGCCATACGTGCCAGTCATTGACCATGCTGATCTATTATTATTCTCAGCAACTTTGAGCGGGTCTGTGCTAACAAAGTTCGGTTTCTTGATGTAACTATTGATAAGTTGCTATAAAAACAGTATTAGGTATATTAATCAGTAATGTTATTATTATCAATTTACTTACAGAAATCAAGGGATGATGTTTTGCTCCAAGGTCAAGATCATCATCCATGGAAGAAGAAGAACCTGCTGGTACAGCAGAAGGCATCACAGAATTTTGGCTGGTCATTGCCTTTTTTATTTCGGCATTTTCAGTCATGAGCTGAAGGACCAAGTTCTTCAAAAATTCATTTGTCTTGTTGGACAAATCCAGGCCATTCTTCAAATGAGTTATTGCATCAGTCACTCCTTTTGCATTTTCTTCCAAGGATTGCATTGACACATTGTTGGCTGCCAACAAGGTAAGGACATGATCTATTGGGGTCACAGCGACTTGAACTTCAGGGGCTGTGTCAACTGGTACTTCTGGAGTTGGTGTATCAATTGGAGCAACAACACCTGCAATTGTGCTATTAAGAACAGCATTCATGCGTAGGTTGGGTCAGCGGGGAGCAGTAGGAATATGCTTTGTCATTTTCTGTTAATAAAATAAATATTAATAATTTTCAACTAATATTGTACAATTCACTACACTTGTTATATCATATTTAAAATTCACATACTAGTAAAGAGGATAAGTGGTGCAGATTAACTCTCTACCTTTCATTTGATATTTAAGCACATCTCCCAACCGCTTGATCCACATTTAGACAACTTCTTTTCTAACTCAATGAGGCACAAAGTAGTATTTCAAGATGACGGTGGTTATCTTCTTTTGGAGTATTACTTTTTACAGCCCGCATTTTGTCAGGGTCAAACTGAATTTTTAAGACAAGTCTTTTTTTTTTCTTTTAACAACATTTATTAATGATATTTTCTTTGTTTCTCTTTTGCTTATGTTTTTACAATTTCACTTATAATTTATTCTTTCTTTTATAGCTCAATACCAAATATGTGTCTCTTTGTTTGGCTATACTCTGTCTGATATATCAAGGTAAGATATCATTCTCTTACAGATCTTTATTACTCATCATATTGTTTGTCTAGCCATTGCTACTCATTTCCATTGAGTCTCATCATCTCTTAATCGAACATGATGGTAAGTTTTTTTCTTAAAAAAAATTCAAATTATTCTTTTGTCTTCCTCATAAATATATATTTATTTCTATTACGATTTATTAGTTATGTCTGATATTATGCAGGAAGACGTATAATCAGTAATATTTGGTAAGTTAACTACAATATATTTAATAAATACGCCTTTACTACGCACAATATTAATAATTATTCATTTTTAGAATGTATCTCTATTCAAAGACTACTGGTATTGTCTTGATAATTCTGAAGAACATGTTTATATCAATTTTATGTCAAGTCTTCTCCGCCTTGTAAGTATTTATGAAGAAATTTCAATTTAAATCATTTACTAATTCTTCTTTTCTATTAATCATTTTTTAATAGCATTCCTGCTATTAAAGTATGTATTCCATGTCTACTCCCAGAAGGCTTTAAATTATATATAGCAAGCAAGAAATATTAGCAATTATAATAGCTATAGTATCAAAACTGTCGCGAAATTAGGATTTTTATCTAGAAAAGATTTTCCTATCAAATAAAACAAAATTGAACAAAAAATGTATAACCCAATGTTTTTCCAAAAAATAAATAAATAAAAGTAAAATAAATAAACAAACCGAAGAGGCTTATTTATAAAAATCTACCCATGCTTTGTTTCTCTTTTCTATTGTAAAAAAACCTAGTTTCATTGCTTTTGTGTGTATAAAAAACCTAGTTTCATCACTTTGAGCATGTATAAAAAACCAACTATCATCATTTCTTTATATTGTAAAAAACCTACAATCATCTCTTTGATAGTTTTTAAAGCATTTCTGTAGCCAATAAAAAAACCCGGTAAAAATAATAATATGGGATGCTAGCTCTTTATAGACCTCAAAATATAACACATAAAGAGGTAGACTAGATAGAAGTAAAGCGTAACTACAATATTTATTCAGTTTCCATAGTTTGCGGACTGACAATCGTTCTACATTGGGTTTTCGTGTACCCGTTGTTATGATGATACGCATCAGCACCATAGATGATATCGTACCATTGCTCAAAATGATATATCACAAAAATTGTGATGATATCGGCTCAATCATCTAAATTTTTGGTACATTTGATCCAGATGAAATTACACTATTTTTCTAGTGTAATGAGTCATGGCCAGCCGCATCATATTCCTTCATGACCTCCATGAAAGCAAAAAAGTGTAGGAAGCCATGGAAATATACATACTGAAAGTAGAACTGTACTGTACCAACGAGCCAGCTGTGAACAATTACATTAAGGTTGCTAAAATAAATAAATAAATAGAATGTAAGCAACTTTTGATTGTATATCAAAAAATATTATACTTACTTTCTATAGGGGCAAGTAAACATCACGTAATGGTTGCCACGGCTGGTCTCGTTTTTCTTTCTTTGGTACATGCATGAGGAATATACAGTCGAGTCCATCCACAGACATGCAGCTACAACAACAACAGAGTCACCAAACTCGTGACCAGTCAAGCCTGTTGTTCTCTGGTAATATTTTAATAAAGCTTCCTTCACACTAGGGCCGCCTACACCTTCCACCAAATCATCATTCAAATTAACAAACTGATGAAATGGATCCCACAACTGCGCACCACTAGGATCATTAGGAAGGTCCACATAGCTCTCTTTTCCATATGGCTTTGGCCGAATGAGGTTGATTTCATCACAGATGCTGATTGCCATGCTGGTATAATTGTGAATCACAAATCGCTCAATGAGAAAACTGGCGTTTCGGCCACCCTTTGATTTGGACTTTATTAATTTCGAGAAGACTCCAATTACTCTCTCCATTGAGCGAGTGGAATAGCATCGCAGGGGGCCTTGCTGCTTGATGATATAGGGTATATGGACCAGGTAATGTTGCACTGGCCAGAAAACACTACGAGACAGGGTATTATTCTGGACTTGTTGGTATAAAAACGAGTGCCAGTGCTTGAAGTATCTATTATTAATATTTAAAAAATGGTAACAATCAGCTATTTGTAATGATAATATATGAGACGTATAATAACTTACAACTCCATCTCATCAAGCAATTCTGATGTCAACGTCCATTGCAAGGCAAGCGCGCAGCCATTCATGAGAGATAATAGAGCTGTTTTGACAGCTCTATTTGGTAAATAAGGCATGACCAAAGTGGGGACAATGTATAAGAGAAAGTCAAGCCAGTCAACTGCGCAAGTACCATTGATCTTGGTAAATACGTTGTCAAAACTGCCTTGAAATGAGGTGGGTATATATTTTCATAAGCTGGTGATAAAGTTTCTAATTGTTACCAGATCTGCTCTTGGTATATGAAAAGCGTATTTGGTGGTATTGAGGGTATTGTCTGGATGGGTATAATAAAATTTGGTTTCCTTTGTGAGGGTGACGGTAATCGGGTCATACACAAGCTTTCCAATCCCTCTTGCAATTAAATGAAGTTCATCTAATGCAAAAAATGATGATCCAGAGAAGGTTGAGAGTTGAGTATATATGCTCAGCTGGTATATGTTCTTCGACTATTACAAGCAGTTATTTAGTATGAAAAAAAGATGGCTAATTGAACATTTATATACTTACAGGGTTGCCTACTTTGAAGTCTTCCATAGGTCTTAACCGGGTGGAAATGTCATCAAAGTACATGCCATGCCGTCTGTTAGTAGGGCATTTGCCTTTGATCTCACAAAAATGGCAACCAAATAAACTTGTATGGGAACCAATGTGGGCCATATCAGCTACAGCTGGAATATTGCCAGAAGCAAGCAGCAGATAGACCTTGGATCTGCAAAGCTCCACTCCATTGTGCTTGACAACCAAGCCATGTGCCTCAAGATCTCGCAATTCATTGATGATGGGTATAAGAAAGGAGTCCAAATGAGTTGGCTTCTTGGGGCCAGGCAAGATTACCATTTGCAAAAGGTATTTGTTGGTATATCTAAGTATTTTATTAGTAACTTTTTTTTAAAAAAAATGTAATAATAATAATAAATAGTAATAAATTAATTAATTACCTGATGGATGGGTCTAGGTTGAATATTATGCAATGGATGATGGTATATGAGTTTTTGCCTTTCTTTTGATTGACAAACCTATTGGTATAAAGCCCAATAACAATATCATCGGGATTGGAGAACAGGCCCTGCTGTACCAACTGTTTGTAATTGTCACTATCAAAAATGTTGGTTAGCTGACCAGCTACAGATTCCCAGTTTGCTCCGTAACAGAGAAGTTCTCTTGTGGCTGGATCTGCCAACATTTGAGAAAGCATATCTCCGACTGATATAAGTTTTATACTGGCAGCTGGTGTCTGACTTTAATTGGGATCAGTCTTGTATCGCGGTTTGCCACAGTCAACACAAGATTCCTGGTTGTCATTAATGTCATACAATTGACAACCACTAGAGCAGAAATCATACTCATAGCCCTTGACACTTGACTTTGACTTGAGCAAAGCATCAACAGTTTTGCCATGACTGATCTTAGCCCCAGATTCTGAAAAAATGATATTACTACATGTTAGTGATCTGGAATTAAAGTACAAGGTAAGAGAAAATATAATATTTTACTATCATTATATCGTCATGGTCTCAAATGACAGTGTTTATAAATTGAACAATGTCTCTATATGCTGCTCTAGCAATTCTATGCTGTAGCATCAATTGAGACAGATGAATACTCATCAACTTGGCCTTGGTAAAAGTATTTGTACTGATTCGGCTGCTGTCATAAATGTGAGCTTCACTCTCACTGTCCTCAAAATTACATGTGCACTTATATGAAATAGTATTATCAAGCTCCATAAACTCCATAGTATATTCTGTAATACATTATTTAGTAATTGGAAAATAAATAATACAATTACAGCTCTTTTCATTATCTGAATTGCTAACAGATTCATTTTCATTACTAGTATCATTTTCGTCATGGTACATGTCAACATCATCCAGAATAGACTGGTCAATTTCAGTCATTGTTGCTGAATCTCCTCTGTGAATTCTCTTGTGGTTTTGCAGCTTCTGGTAGTTATCAAAAAACAAGACACATTGATCACATTGGTATTGCTGTGTAGATATTCTATCTCTCTGCTGGCTGGCGTTGGAAGAAGACATATTGGTTGGGTTGGTACATATGTAATATATAAAATAAAACTGCGAAGAGGATTTTGGTGCTATTCATTAAATGTAAAAGACATCTTTATATACTCTTTATTTTTTAACCAAAATGCTTGCAGCTCTTTTTCTTTTTCTCTCTCATAGTGATGATATAGCAATGATTACAGTAATGTCAATGCTAGGTGAAACACCTGTCAGTAAATAATTCCCGTGGTTGGAAAGATTCTTCTTCATTAATAATTATGGTGTAAGTTAAAATACTTCTTGGTTGACAAGGGGGTACCATTAAAAGAGAACTGGTGAAACAGACACGTACTCTTTACTTGTGAGCAATTAGATGTTCTTTGAGCTTTATAGAGAGGTATATGTATATTTAGGATAATTAACAACCAAATAATTTATGTTTTTTTTAAATAAATTATCAATTACTCTCTAATACCAAAGGCAAAGAAAAACAGCCTTCTAATAATTAACAGTTAAAAAAAAGTAGTACTGTCTAAACACATTGGTAGAAAAGACATATTTATATTATCTGTGTTGTACTAATAATATTTTTGAGATAGTGAATATATATTTAGCTAATAGCATTATTTTCTTGTTTATGTATAAAACTTAAAGAAATAGATATAGATAATGAGGGCTATAGTCTGATACTCTTTTACTGACATCATCAAGATAAGCACTACTGATCGAAAGGGGTGTTAATTGAAAGTGCCGATGTGAGTTAAAGCACACCTTTTTCAAAAATGTACGGTTTCAGTCAAAAATGCCCCTTGGTAAATAATAGTAATGACAGTTAAAATTATTTTTATCTTTGATGACAGCATCAATCAAAACGCGTTTTAGTCGATAATGATAATAAGTATGATATGAACCTGAGTATCATAACATTTACTTTAATATTGATAAAAAGGGGCTAATTAACTATATGATGTTCAGATGTTATATAGCTACTGTAGAGTATATTTAAAGTTATAATTTTAACTGGTACAGGGTTTTGTCATCAAGAACTTTAACCAAATTTCATGCTATATCTGCAATATGTATAGAGTTATATTATTATATCATATACTTTAAAACGTTTAATATGTAGACGGTGCAAAGTATGAACATTTATACATATAATATTAATTTAAAGTCTAATTCATTTTATCTTTATATTTCTTACAGTTTTGTTGTGTCGACACAAAAAGACTGTATCATGTTCACATGAGCTACTGCAGACAGGTGCAGACAGGTGCATACAAGTGCATAAGCATTCCTTTTTTTATATGTTTTGTTTGTACATCTGTCTGTATCTTTTTCATATAAATAGCTATCAATTGCTTGTAATAAATTGTTGCCTTTCTCAAACTCATATCGCTCTTATTCTACTTGTCTAAACTATCACTTTTTCTTTTCAACTCACTGCTTATAGCTAAAAAAACTTAAACGTGTCCAATATTAACACAACTCTCCTCAACTCAATTCAAAAGATTGAGGTTGATCTTGCTGAAATCAAGCAAGCATTGCGCAAGCTTCAAAGGCAATTCAGCAATCAATTTGCGCCAGCAGTCAGTGCAGAAGATCTAACTACAATGCAACAAAGCATTATTGAGCAGAGTTGTAAGTCATATATATTCTGTGCTTAGATGTTTATTTACTTTATTAATATTGTCATACATTTTTTTGTAGCTCTTGAGCGCATTGCTGAGTCTGTGAAAAGAGCCCAGCTCACAGAGTACCCTGATCAGCTCGGTAAGCGAGTAATAAATACTGGCGTCGAGTTCAAAGGAAAAAATGAAGCACAAAAATACAACCTGTTGCTTCAGATTCTTCACGAGCAGGACTGGAAGGCGCGCTGCAAAGAAGTTTCACAAGGGCAGCCTTTGCCCCCATTAGTCCCTCTTTCAGACCATGATTTGACAGTAAAAAGACTGCATCTCAAAACATTAGGCCGTATGGTAAAGCATGATATCATTGACAAAGACTATCCTGCAGCCTCAAAAGAATGGAAAAATATTCCAGAGAAAAACAGGGAATACTACATGATGCATTTGGAGAGGTTGGCAAAGAATGGTAGATTGCATATCCACCAATATAAAAGAATGTGGTGTGCAAGAAGCCTTCTTTGGGAAAGCTTCAAGAGTGACAACCAGACGCACAAGAGAAGAATAGCAGAGAAGAACAAAGTAAGTTTATCAATTAACAAATCTATATATTGTAAACTTTAATTAACATCGTTTCCTTTTATTATGCTATAGACACAGCAAGATATAGGTGATTCTTCACTTTCTTCTCCTGATATGTCAGAAACTAGTGATGTTGAGGCGCCCATAATGGCAGATGTGCTGTAAGTTACCATTGTTGCTTTTTCTCATGCGCTGTTAATACAAAACTAATATAAACTTCTTACTCTTTTATGTAGGTCTCCTCTGTTGTAAATGAGTATTGACTACTGCTGTAATTGAGAATAAGTCTGAAGGAAATAATATAAGGCCTCAGCTATTCCAGTCAAAGGTGTCTACCAATTACTTTATTATTTAACACACAGGTTTAGCATGCATGATAGTGATTATATTTCATATGATGATATCACCATAATATGTGATACATCAGTGGATTATTATAAGTATAATTATAACTCATAAACACATTTACTTTCGAAGTTAATACTTCATTGGGACTACACACATTTATATAATTAATCATATATTAATTATCCCAAGATCACGTTGCTCTGATTATGGCTCAGATAGGATCGATTACCTGACCCCAGTCATATAATTTTCCCAATCCAAAATAATATAAATAGCAGTAGGAGTTCAGTGTAGGAACCTGGTCAAACTTTGATACAAAATCTTTCTCAATAAACAAAACCTACACAAGTTCTCACAAATCTTCGTTCCTAATTTCAAATCTTCAATTCTTCCTCTTAAAAACTTCTTCAACTTCAACCACCACAACATTCTCCACCCATAGCAAGTGTTGAGCCTGCTTGCGAAAGAAGTCAAAGATTGTAGTTTGGCTGCTGTGATTGGCCGAGTTTGATTTTTTTAGTTTGTCTTTAGTGCATTTTTTTCTTATCTCGTTATTTTTCTTTTTATGTTTTTTATTCCTTTTTTCTTTCATACAAAAAATTTATTGATCTCTTTCGTATGATTGCTAATATTGTGATTACAAGAATTTGAAGCTAATGTACAGCATTTACAATTCCGCTACATTCAAATACAAAAGAAAATAGTATATAGCCTTTTTTTAAGAAAAAATTAATAGTAATATTTTTTTACTGATATATTATACTCGGGAGTCATTCTATTATATGTAAGTATATTGAGTAGAATAAACACTGAGCTTTCTAACAAGATGCTCATTCCGGTTGTATGAATCAGATTCAAATTAGCTTCATGTTACATGACTTGAATCTTTGCTAAAGTTTTTCTTCTACAATAACAACTTTCTATAGTACTTAAGTTTATTGCTTTTCTTATATATAGATCTTAAACATTAATACATTCTTTAATATATATATATATTCTTAGAGTAAATGCTTATTTCACTGAATAAGTAAGCATATTATATAAAGGTAAGCATTATAATAGTATTATATCTATCTATTTATTTAAAGTTTTTTCTCTAATATTAGTATATTTGTAGAAATCAGTAAAAAATAATAAGTGCTATCTAAAATATATTAGAATACTCAAAGTATATGAAATAAAATTTGAATAGTAGTGTTTTATTGCATATGTTTTGCAGTAGCTAAACAGAACTATTTTTTATTGCAAGTGGCCGATTGAATTGTTTATTCATTATTACTATTATTATTATCATTTTCATTTAAAAAAACATGCATTAAAATAAAAATTATATTCAATTAAACCCAATTCAATATTGTATAATAAAAAACAGACCATTCTGTTAAAGCTGCAAAAGAAAAACAAGAGGTTGTGCTAGAATTGAAAGCAATAAAGCAAAAGAAAGAATGTAATAGAGGAAAGGAAGGACACTTGATTTTTTTTTGAAAAAATAGTAACAGTGCTTGCTTTTTTTTTTGAAAAAATATTAACAGTGCCTGTTTTAACTTTTTATATAATAAATAACTGCCATTTTCTATTATGAAAAATGGTAACAGTGCTTGTTTTGGCTTTTTACATAATAAATAACTGCCATTTTTTACTATATAAAAATGGTAACAGTGCCTGTTTTGACCTTATACAGAGTCATAACTGCTATTTTTTATTAAGTAAAAAATAGCAGTTATGTTATCAAAGTATTAACATGTTACCATTTTCTTCACCATAGTGCAATATTAGCCAATAATATTTGATTTATCACTAATATTAGTTTATAACATCTTATCTATCTCTAATATTAGTCAATAGCATTGGATCTATCATATTATATATATTCACACTTGTCAATATCCAAGTCATATCTGATCATCTCGTTAAATACAAGTTACATACTCTAATCATATTTAATCTTTCATTTTTTATATATTCACAACTCTTTTATAATCTTTCTATATATATATATAATGTAAATATATCATAAATATAATACATATTAATAAATTGACTTGTTCATATATGTTTTTATAGATCTATATAATAAGATTTTGATATTTATAAGAAAATTAGTAAAAAAAATGAAAATTAATTTTTATTAATTCTGTACTTGTTCTTTACATATTTTGATACTTCTATATGATATGACTAAATTGTCTTTATATGGCAAAATTTTTTAAAAAATTATTACTTAGTAAGAATTTGAACTTTCATTAGAAGAGATATATTTAATTATTGTCGGAACGGCTTTTTGATAGTTTAAGGCTAAATGTTTTTCCATGCCAAGCTTTTACATAGCTGTTATTTATATAACCTATCTTCTCACACTAGGTACATTCAGACTAACTAAAAAAGGAATTTTTTTGCGAAAAAAGCTATTCTTTGTCATTTTTTCCCACAAATTCAATCGTATTGTTTATGTAGATTATTTATGCAAGATTATGCATGATTATGCAAGTTATATAACAAGTATAGCCAAAAGTTATCAATTTTTTTCAGCAATGCAATTGTATTGTTTACATTACGCAAATATGCATAATGATGTATGTTACACAAACTTTATTTTGTATATTTTCATATATGTTTAAATTTTTTTATATGTGTCTATATATAATTATGCAAGATTATGCAAGATTATGCAAGATTATGCAAGATTATGCAAGATTACGTAAGCTGATAACAGCTGATCTGATATATATATAAGTGAATATTAGTCAATCTCATCCATATATAAACCAATAATTACCAATATGATATATATATAAGCCAATGATCGCCGATTTAATATATATATAAAAAGATGATCCCCGATCTCATACATATATAAGTGGATGACAACCGATTTCATATATATATAAGCTAATAATTATCAATCTGGTATATATATTAGTTAATAATCACCAATCTGATATATATATAAGTCAATAATCACTGATCTCATATATATATAAGTCAATGGTTACCAATCTGGTATATATATAAGTCAATGATCACTGATCTCATATATATATAAGTCAATGGTCACCAATCTGATATATATATAAGTCAATGATCACTGATCTCATATATATATAAATAGATAATTGCCAATCTAGTATATATATAAGTAGATGATTGCCGATCTCATACATATATAAGCAGATGATTGCCGATCTCATATATATATATAAGCAGATGATTGCCAATCTGATATATATATAAGCTGTTGACCGTCAATCTGGCATATATATAAGCTGTTGACCGTCAATCTGGCATATATATAAGCTGTTGACTGCCAATCTAACATATATATAAGCTGTTGACAGCTGATCTAGTATATATATATGCTGATAACCACTAATTTAATATATATATATAAGCTGATAACCACTAATTTAATATATATATATAAGCTGATAACCACTAATTTAATATATATATATAAGCTATTGACCACCAATCTGGTATATATATAAGTGAATGACAGCCAGTCTGCTATATATATAAGTGGATGACAGCTGGTTTGATATATATATAAGTGGATGACAGCTGATCTGCTATATATATAAGTGGATGATAGCTGGTATGCTATATATATATATAGATGACAGCTTATCTAGTATATATATAAGTGGATGATAGCTGATCTGCTATATATATAAGTGGATGACAGCTGGTTTGATATATATATATGTAGATGACAGCTTATCTAGTATATATATAAGTAGATGATAGCTGGTATGCTATATATATAAGTGGATGACAGCCAGTCTGCTATATATATAAGTGGATGACAGCCAGTCTGCTATATATATAAGTGGATGACAGCCGGTCTGATATATATATAAGTAAATGACAGCTGGTCTGATATATATATAAGTAAATGACAGCTGATCTGCTATATATATAAGTGGATGATAGCTGATCTGCTATATATATAAGTGGATGACAGTCAGTCTGCTATATATATAAGTGGATGACAGCCGGTCTGATATATATATAAGTAAATGACAGCTGATCTGGTATATATATAAATGGATGACAGCCAGTCTGCTATATATATATGTGGATGACAACTGATTTGCTATATATATAAGTGGATGACAGTCAGTCTGCTATATATATAAGTGGATGACAGCCGGTCTGATATATATATAAGTAAATGACAGCTGATCTGGTATATATATAAATGGATGACAGCCGGTCTGATATATATATAAGTAAATGACAGCTGATCTGGTATATATATAAATGGATGACAGCCAGTCTGCTATATATATATGTGGATGACAACTGATTTGCTATATATATAAGTGGATGACAGCTGGTCTGCTATATATATAAGTGGATGATAGCTGGTTTGATATATATATAAGTGGATGACAGCTGATCTGCTATATATATAAGTGGATGACAGCTGGTTTGATATATATATATGTGGATGACAACTGATTTGCTATATATATAAGTGGATGATAGCTGATCTGCTATATATATAAGTGGATGACAGTCAATCTTATATATATATAAGCTGATTGTAACTGATCTAATATATATACATACTGATTATAATCAATGTAATATATATATAAGCTGATGGCACCTGATCTGATATATATATATAAACTATTGATAGTCAATTTAAAATATCTATATATTGATGATGGCTAATTATATACTTATATAAGCTGACAAAAACTAATATACTATATATATATAAACTATTGATAGTCATTTTAATATATCTATAAGTTGATCATAGCTAACATAGTATATATATAAGCATATAATAACTAATCTAATTTATATATAAGCTGATTATAACTTATATGCTATATATATAAGTTGATGATAGCTGATCTCATATATATATATATACTAATAACAGCTAATTCAATACATATATAGACTGATAATAGCCAATTTGCAATATATATAAATTAATAACAGTCAATCCAATATATATATAGATCAATGATTACTAATTTATTATATATATAAACTAATAATAAATAATCTAATATATATATATAGACTGATCATAATCAAGCTGCTATATATAAAAATGAATAACAACCAATATAATTTATATATAAACTTATAACATCAGATTTACTACTTATATATATTAATAACATTTTATCTATCTCTGATATTAGTCAATAGCATTGGATCTATCACATTATATATATTCACACTTGTCAATATCCAAGTCATATCTGATCATCTCGTTAAATA